CACCCCCTGCACCACCGGCACCAACATCGCTCGGATTCAGATTTCTAAAGATAACAAATAAAAAAAAATAACCTATTGGGAAATTGGGAGAAAATCTACTATCCACGTGAAATAAAAAAACATAGCCTACTGATGACATGGCTTTTTAATGATGAAAGAATTATTTAAATCGGCCAGTACTTTTTGAGTTATTTTAATACATACAAAAATGCAAAAATACAATCTTTCCTCTTTATAATATAGGTATAACTAAAACAATAAAAAAACAGCTTCCATTACATTTATGTCAAATTTCATCGAGATCAGTTCAGCTGTTTAGGCTACAAACATCCATCTAAACTTACATATTTATAATATTAGCATAATAAGATTAACAAAATAATTATAAATACTAAGATAAAATAAGAAATACTAAGATTTTTATATAAAAAACGTACTTAGCTTTCTGTAAGGCTTTGGCTCTTTCTAATATTTCCGCAGGCGAAGGCGCTGGCTTCTGTAAAAAACCATTTCTTTTAAAAATAAAAACTAAAGTAATACACTCTAGAAGAAACACATTAGTATCTATACTAATATAATAAAGCGTAAACACACTACTTTGTGACGTAAGATGTCAGCAATCATAGGACATTTTTGAATAATTCTTTCTTTAATAAAAAGCCCTACACTTACGACAAGCTTTAGGCTATACATTTTTATGCTATTAACCTTAGGAAGTAAATAAATTGGAAAAATCCTTTATGTAGGAAAGGGACCATACACTACAAGCTGCCAACATTAAGGGGATTATTGCTGCTGGGACTCCCCCGACACTGCAGTGCGTCAGAGATGTTTGCGCAAACGCGGATTGACGGCTTCAACGCCATACTGCGCAAACATACGGCCTCTCTTTTACGCTGAGTTCGGGAGAGTACCAACAGCATCCTAAGAGGGCTTAGTGAGAAGCCCGACTGCCCGATCATAGGGCACTGGCGGCGCGTACATATGCGCGTAGCCGACATCGGGTCCCCTAGATCGTTTTAATTTTAGTTTCTCCTTTTTCTTTATATATGTGTGTATAATGTAATATAATATGTATTGTTCTTGTAAATATCATATGTGTAATATTCTGTTACATGAGTTAAATAAATTATTATTATTATTATTAAGGAAGCAAGGTTATTGTAACGGTAATTATGACAATTACAACTGAGATTTAGACAAACATAAACAATAAAATAAAGTTTTTTAAAATTTAATGCCGATGAAGCCTCAAAGGAAGAGCTAGTCTATGATAAAAAAACTCTATTTCATTACAAGAGATTTTAATTATTATTCTATGTACAAGCAACATTATAGTAAAAATAGCTTACCAATGGTGATGGTTTCTTTATCGGAGACTGCTGTAGGAACATTAACGGACCATCTGCACCCTCCATCATCACATATGTCTCTTGGTTCTCCGAATCTAATACAATAAATAAAAAAAGTCACTGTCAAACTGTGAACATTGGCAGTTTCACATTTAACTAATATGAACAAACAGATGTGACCTAGAAAATTACTTTATTCATCCTAAGCTACCTAACAATTTAAATCCCATTAAAATCGGTATAACTTGACAATTCAGAAATTACCCGAAACAAACAGACTTACAAACATTTAAAAAACTTCTTTTTCAAATAAGAAGCACATATAGAGGTAAGCGATATAAATTGTCGTAATATAAAATATGGTTAAAATACATAATTGTTAAAGTTAAAAAAATTGTTAGTAAAATTATCAAGTTTACCTTCACCATCTTCAGTGGTTTGCAAAACACAAGTGACCGTTTCACCTTCATTGCCCTCCGAGGAATCTGCATTGCTCACCAACTGATATGACTCCTGGCCATCTTCACTCCTGGAAAAATAGACATGCCATAACAAGGGTGGAATTACCATAAAAAATTAGGAAAAACATTCAGTCCTGCTTACCCCGAAATTTATTTCATCATTAAAAAAAAAACTTAATAAAAAACATATAAATATAACTAATAATAAAAATAAACTTAAAAAATTGTTGAAAAATCACATCAAACTTACATCTTACTAATATTATAAATGTGAAAGTTTAGATGGATGGATGTTTGTTAGAGTTTGTAACCTAAACAGCTGAACGAATCTCGATAAAATTTGCCATAGACGTAGAGGATAGTCTGGAAGAACACATACTCACTTTTATTTTTTTAATTCCACGCGGACGAATTCGCGGGCGAAAGCTGGTATTAACATTAAATTTAAAACTAGCTGTTGCTCTTGAATTCGCCTGCATGAAATTAAAAAATATACCCTATTTTACTCACATTTAAATTACCTTTTTAACGCTGAATGAATTTTTAAAATCGGCCCAGTAGTTTTTGAGTATTCAATACATTAAAAAATACAAATCTTTTCTCCTTATATTAGTATAGTTTACATGAATAAGATAATTTTACTATTAAAAAAACTTACCTAACTAAAGTCAAATTCAATAAATCCACCATCATATTTTTACTGGAGTCCAGAACTTGCATATATTTCAGGCCCTCCGTACCATCTCCTGCTTCCAGCACATGACCATTTAAACTCTCCAGCTGTAATTACATTGAAAATGTGACAATGATATATGTTTCCGATCAAACCTGAATACAAGAGAATCCAAGCATCCACAACATTTTTCTTACTGAAAGTTCCTCTCAAATCTGGGTATCTCGCTTATAAAGGTTTCTTCCAATTCTCGCTTATGTTTTGACTGTATGCAAAATAATTACAGACTTACCAGATTAGACGAGACTTGAGAACTGCAGAGGGTAAGCTAAGTGAAAGGTAAAAACTAAGTTACAGCTATAAGAGCAGTACTTAAGTTATAGTACTTTAAGTAAGCTGGAGCCTACAATGAGTGTGAGAGTAAAAAGCTAAATGTACTTAATGGTTGTTAACAAGCTTAATATTTTACTGGTATAGTTAAATCATACTAATCGTACTAATGTTATAAATGCGAAAGTTTAGATGGATGGATGTTTGTTAGAGTTTGTAGCCTAAACGGCTTAACAAATTTCAATGAAATTTAGTATAGATGTAGAGAATAGTCTAGAAGAACACATAGCCTAATCACTTTTGTTTTTTTTAATTCCACGCAGATGGAGTCGTGGGCGAAGTTTAGTACTTTATATAAATAATAGTGTATATAAGTGAATGGGAGTGTAAATTTGGGACATCCCGAACATACTTATACTGTAATGAATCTTTCTATCTCAAATAAATGTAGTATAAAGTTAAATTCAGGAATAAACTGAGTATAAGCAAAATTTGTACTAATATTTGCTTATAATCTGTCTATTCCTAAATTTAAATTTACACTGCGTTTATTTGTAAGGCTGTATTAGTGTGTTTGAGATGGATGTGCATGTAAGCATGGATATTCAGAAAAGTTGTGTCAGGACCGCACCAAATATTGGTAGCCTCTGCCTACTTATCTGTTGTATGTAACAGATCCCTTATTTACCAATATCATAGACATTGTACGAAAATGTAGATGACAAGTGCTCACCTGTGCTTTATCAAATGAAGTCACCTCAACAATTTCTAATTGATCTAAAAACAAAATAAATCATGTATAATCAAGAATATGGTGTGTACAGCATAATTAATTAACTTGGGCAACATAAAAAATGTATTTTTGTTACTATACATACCATCTTTGAATTGTGAAGATAGCATCTGTGCAGATGATTCCCCATGTTCCTCGTCCGACATTTTTGTATAGCCTGAAATGCGAATTATATTTAAAAGTGAATATACTTCTATATATTAGATTATACTGGTTAGATGGTTTTTGTAATGTCTCAATATGGGTATGCGCCAGACAACGTATGTTCTTGGACATAGCGAAAAACTGTTGTTAGCCTAAGCAATTAAGAAACTCATGTGTTTATTGTGGTTATGATAACCTGGTCAATTAATTTAATATTATATTATAAAATATCATCAATTGAAATTGATTTTATTTATTTAATGTATTAATGTAATGGAATTTTTTGACATTAGCTGTAGAGCCACGCGTACGTACATTTTGATCATGATATATTATTGTGTTTACAATTTAGGATATTAGGAAGTAAACTTCACAAAAATATTGTAAATATTATTGAATTAAGCAATTTATAGACATAAACAGTACGTCAAATGGTCAAAAACAAAATTTTATTGCAACACTACCTTTCGTGGTGTTTCTATAATGACGATAATTTGTTTATTGTTAAATTGCAACAATCTACTACTGCCGTTTAATGGCAACAATATTCTTGATTTGAATGAATAAAACTAATGGAAAACTTAGTAAAGCACCACTGTTAACAAGTGAGAAAACAATTACAAATGTATTAGTGCAATATCGCCATTGTCAAACTTGTTGAAACATTTTCTCTTGAGCAGTTTTATTTCTATCGTGCAACGATGTAAAACAATTAATCCAATGTTGCCATAGTTAAAAATTCTAAACCATTTCCAATGTTTCGCTTTTAAAAATGAAATTGTTTCATTAAATACTAGTGAATTGGCTTTGATACAACATTTTCTAGTCGCCGAGGCGATTTATGTTTTGTCCTAAATCTTATACATTAATACCCACTGTTTTTCGTGAATAATGGAACGTAAAGTTAGTATAACCACCTGTTTAAGTATTAAATGCGGACTACACCCCACTTCCCAAAACAATGACACCAATATGAATTTCTTCGCAATTTTAGGGAAAACCCGAATAGAAGATTAATTCTCAAATAGTGATATGAGTCTATTTTTCTTCTTATCCACATGGTATGAATTCTCATGGCGAAAGCGTAACGGTTTCTTTATTTTTCACTATGGCTTAAAAAGGAATTAACCAAATTACTTTTAATAGGGTATAGCTAGGTAAAAGCTGTAGCAGATATGGTAAAGTACAAATAATACGTTGAGGATAAGTAAAAAGCACAAGTTTTTCTTTATCTATTTTATTTGAATTTGCGCCGAAAAGAAATCAAATGGTTTTATCGCAAATCTTCACAAAATAAGTTTTGGCGGGAAACGAATTGAAATGGGGAAAACTGAAAAGCCAACCTGGGGATACTAAATGGAGACAGAGATATGCACGAATCAATACTGAACACTTAACTTCCACAGACGAAGTTCCCTTTTCACTCGTTATCCCTTTCTCTCTCACGAAAACTGCGTAAGCCAGATTGAAAATTGGAAATTTAAAGAATACGCTGAAATTAAGCAAAAATATGAAATAAATCAATGGAAATATGAATAGTTGGAGTGAATAAATGTTCCTTATGTAGAATATTAGTCATATAATCAATTGATGTCGATGTTTTCGAAGAAAGTTCTAACTCACGCTATCGAAATTTATTTTGTATCTGAGTATATATAGCAAAATTGAATATCACTGGTTGGGAGGTCCGTAGCTACTCCGTAAGCCGGTGTTGCGAGGATCCGGTCTAACTCCTCGCTACAGTTATCGATATCGGTTAATAATAATTTAAGTGGTACGCAGAATGCACCGAAAATGATTATGATAATAAATGCTAAAGGAGAGCGTTGTCTCTCACCTCCACGGTAGTAGCTAATACGACCTCCTTTTTGATTTTTTTTTAAATTACCGTCTCAATTTTTTTTATTATTATTAATAAAAACATAACCATCATAGGTGTATTATATTAAGATTCACAAAAATTATTCGACTTCAAAAAAGAATATATTTCCAATTCGGCCTTGCTTTTTTTATAGATAACAGAATTTTAAATAAATAACCTTATTATTTCACAGTTTTATTTCAATAATCGCCTCCATAGTTTTTCATACATATTCTGTTTTAGAATTATTTAAACGCCAGTAGATGTCGCTTAAATGTATTAGATTTTTACATCAAGCAAATGAGCATTTATTGGCTGAATTAAGAAAGTGTAGGAGAATTTGTTATGGAATTCAATATTTGTAATCCATAATGGCATTCATCTAATCCATATGAGAAAATAAAATATTAAAGTTGACTCTTGAAATCTCATAAGTAAAATGGTTTTCGAACCTTATACATAATTCATAAAGAATAGAAAAATATAGCCAACAATAGAGATAAATCAGGATATAAAAAATTACATGCCCAAAATGGTAATGATTCCTTTTTAAACATGGATGTATGTTATCACCACCACACATTATGCCAGTTGTATGCCAACACTGATTTTCATAGCTACTTGCCTACGTTACTGGCGTGTTGTAAACAAGACATAAAAATGCAAAAGGAAAGTCGGAGCGGCTACATCGGTGTCTGTGAGAAGTACTCTCGTTTTAGTTTTAAAGAACTGTTTTATTTTATTCCATTTCAATATGATACCCATACATGACGACATTGATAACGACGACATATTCAGAGGTGGAGGATTAGACCGGCCCTCACACCAGTACCGGTTTACCGTGTAGCCTAGGACTCCCCCAACAGTATAGGTGTCGGTTTGTATATATACTTATAATTTTAAACACTTTGAAAGCGTGTTTCAGCTCTCGCTTTCTGATTGGCTGGCATCGAAACGATCTAAACGTCCGGCGTCATAATAGTGATGTGCAACGGTTTTACACAACCACCATTTTTACACAATTTATTTTCGTAACAACAAAAATGTTGAGTTATGAATGTTGCTACTTATTAGATTTCAATTGGAATTTTCAATAAGAGAACCAGATTTCTATGTATATTCGCGTTTTCCCAGTTATTTAGGGTCGGACTTCCTTGTCTAAGTCTCCAGACAGCACGAATCTTAGAGGCTTGTTCGTCAAGTTTTATTTCCTCACTATCCTTTTGAACCGTCGTCTGCCAAGAATTAGGTAGTCTTCCGCGAGTTCGCGTCGTCGTCGGCATGTTTATGGCTTATTTAACCATATGATTTTCAGGTCGATTCTGAACATGGTCCTACCAACGTAGACTTCTCTCTTAGTTTTTCCGAAATGGGAGCGACTTTAAAACTTCCTCTGACATATTCGTTTCTAATTTTATCTATTAGGGTGACACTCGCTGTTATAATAAGAGAACTAGATAATTTCACATAATATGTTACTTCAAAGTTTATTTCAAATTGAATTTTGTTGTAAGGTATGCAAAAATAAATTATGGCCCATCACTACTTCACTCCCACCTGTATCGTAATTGATGTTAGAGAACACAATTTGCATGCAAGTATAAAGGCATGTGAAGTCGTCTTTTCATTTGAATTCGCGTTTTATCAATTACCTCATTTATTTTTATCAATTGAGTTTTTTTAAATACCTTTAACTACATTTTATTCATAACACCGTTTAAGACTAGCAGCCTTTCACTACACATTTAAAAAACAAATGAAGATTATTTACGTCCGCAATATTTTTGAAATTAGAATGTTTCTATTTAATTCATTGGTACTCACACCGACCTTTCTTGTCAATTCAACATATTTTAAACAAAGGAGCCCTATAATTTACGGCGATATCATCTATCGGATGTTTTTGGCATCATTCGAAAGTCAGGAAATTACATTGTAGTTCATAAAAATTATTATAGATGGAGCTCCGATAAATAAAGTGTAGTCATAATCAAACTATTAGATTGCAATATGAAATGATTGAAATTCTAATCCTAATATAGCTTAACTAATTAAAAATATATATTGGCATTTTTTCTCAATCTAATAAGAATCAATAATTGTAAGGAATATCATCTCTACCAATTATAACATGTATACTACCAGACTAGTACAGAAGCTAAAACAATAAAGGCTACAAGAAAATTAAATGCCTAATTTTGCCTAATTTTAGTCCCTTTCTCTTTACCATCCTTTTCTTATAAGGAAAGGATGGGAAGAGGAAGTTGATTTGACCGTGGAGGAGCTGCATAGGAAGGGGAAATGTCCTCTTTATGTGCGTCTCCTCCTCCGTCCAATAAGGTACGCAACGCATCTGCAATTGCGGATGTCTATGGGCAGCGGTTGCTTCGCTATTGTCGGATTTAGGTGGCCGCTTGCTCGTTTGCAACCTTATGTTATAAAAAAACTCGGGAAATAGATCATTGTCCAGTTTTTGGTAGAGAAATTAACCAATGTTCCTATTTCAAATTAGGAAATTAAAGAAACATCGGTGCAATAACGTTCATTTAAAATTGAGCAGATCTTACACGACTACATTGGACTGCCTCGGACAATTTTTTACTTTCTATTCAAGCTTTACGCTACGTTGAACTTGTTAAGGCGA